TTGACAAGCACCATTGAAAAATGGTTTCCATTCACATTTGAACGGTTTCCATCGGTTGTTCATTTTATGATTTAGAACCCTCCTGACGCAAGTGAGACCCACTTTTTTCGAAAAAACACGTCACATGCAGCAAATGTTAGATGCCTAATCAACGATATCTGCACTGACGTATGCATTTATTGTGAAATATACTGAAGAAGCATAGTCACTGAGATGTTTATCAACGAAATTGTACACCTCATTGTATAGCATAAAAAATGAATGAGTTATGTGCAACCTTTGGGTTATCCATCAGCAGTTCGTCGTGTTTACCGCAGTTATATCAGAATCAACTCAATGAATGACAGCTGTTTCTGGATAAGCTATAAATTTATAAACAGCTAATGTTGTATGGAACACAATCAGCTAAAGACGTCATGAGCATAAGCAAGTACTTCAGCTCTATAAGCACCATCAAAGAAATCACTTCTGTGTGATCAAACAAATATTTTGCAAACACTCTTGAATTATCACGTCAGAATTGTCACGAAAAAAATCAATCAATCAGAATCAGTCAGTTACCTTAGTTTTCCACTAACACCATGTGGTTCCTCCAGCGTCTACTTTTTCCATCCTTTTGTGAAAACCTTTGACCTCCGATAATATCGCTTAGGCTTTATCGGTGATCCATTAGCTTCAGCAAAATTATTGTTGCTTTGTTAAGTGTGCAATGAGAACGTCAAAAAGAGAACGCTTTGAAACATGTGCTTATGATCCGACATGTCAAATCTCTATCACATGATTATGATGTGCGCTTATTGAAAGCAGAAAAAACCAAAACTTCATCATTTGCATAGGGAGGGCGTGATGGGGCGTTGATTTTTACAACTCATTTTTGCGAAGTTGATCAAGCTGATGTTCGTTCTCAGTGATAACTGTTGAGTGCATTTGCACTTCTTTGAGTGAAAAGAACATCATGAGTACATGATAGCTGATTTGAGTTTGCCCTTTATAGAGTTCANTTCAGTGAATAAAACTTGAAATAAAAGTTTATTGTGAGCAAACGGCGAACATAATCACTTCCATTCAACTTCATCATTAGAGTTGATCAGTTTTGGAAGAACGCAATAGGACTCAAATTTGATAAGGCTTAAAACATATTCAGTGATTCATTTCGTCACCTTTCGCTAATGAAAATCATCATCTAGATGATTCTTTCGAATGCAGCATAAATTTCTTGTGCTTAAAATGGAGTGTGAAGCTCAGAAAAGTTTACTTAAAGCATTTGCGAGTCTTGCTAAGCTTATTGATAGCTACCAGTAAGTAGTGAATGAATTCTATTTGGGTGAATGTTAATCGTAAGCTGTTTATCAGCGAGTTCACCCAAAATCAGCGAATCTGTTACAGGCACCAGTACAGATATCGCGACACCACAGATGTAGCACAGGTATGATAGCGCTGTCGCTTGACGGTGGCGGTGTTCGAGGTTTGGTGTCGCTGGTGTGTTTGTTGTTCACTTCGAGACGTGTTTTCGGTGATGAGTATTTGCCCAATTTAGTGGACTGGATAATAGGTACCAGGTACTTGTATAACTCAACACTTCTCATTCTCTTAGCACTCATCGTCAGCATTTTCATGAGGATTTGCATTCATCAGCGATCACGATCAGTCCTATCGGTCGGGTTGTTAACAGTTTCAAAAGAATCTGACCGGAAGCAATCCAATCGATTGGTCGAAGAACAGACTTTAAAAATTATTGGAGATGCACACTCTGTAACTCGTTCAACTAATTGCAGTGCGGGTTCAATGTTAGGCCTATTGCTGGCAAAAGGTGTGACATTAACGGAGGCATTCTTTCTCTACTGGGATATGAAAAACGAAGTTTTTCTTGATGGTTCAACAATGAAGCGTTTATTCGGTCATACGGTTGATTACCAATCACGAAATATGGACAACTGCCTTAAGAGGTGCTTTCCGGACGATTGTACCTTCTTCAGGTTAGCACTTTCACACATCTCTCGCCGTCAGCTATGAACTACACGGTCGGCCAGTGTGATTCTGTCAAAGCCAATGATATTAGTTGCGAAATCCACGATTTCTTTGACCACTTTCCGTTGTGATCAATATATTCGCCGCATGAAATGAAAGTCCACCACATATGCATAC